ACATCGAAGTTTTGAAGCAAAACGTTATCCCTAATGTCACTGAAGGAGCTAATCAAGGATCTCACATTTAGAAAGCCAATCAATAAATTATGGTCATCATTTGCAATAACATCAAATTCATACATGCTTATCAGTTCTAAAAGATCGTTAAAATATTTAGAAAAAAAAAACAAACAAAGAATGTAGCAAGAGGTTATAAGAAGAAAGAATAGAAAGTGTGTACAAAAAAGAGTTTGTATGGGATTAAAAGTGACGATAAACAACTGTTTTGCTAAATTTAAATTTAACCCTGAAAAAAACTACTGAGAGTAGTTCGTTTTGTCACGAACTATATCTTCTACCTTTTTTAAACAGGCACACCTTTTATCCCAAACTGCATGACACGTATCTATATTTTTTTTGTTTTTTTCATAAAAAACTGCACAATTGACACACTTAAGTCTAGGACTTTTACAGGATTTCCTCTCGTGATTACCCATACACAGAGGACAAACAATACCTTTCACACAACTTTTTTGTATATGACCGTATTCACAGCATTTAAAACATCGCACTATGGAAAGATGCTCAAAAACATTACACCTGCTATATTCACTTTATTTACATACAAGAGTCTGTGAAAAGTCGAAGGATCCGTTTCTGCTACAATATCCATCTTGCCATTCCTAGCTGCATATTTGTAAACTATATTGAAAGTGCACTCAGCGCCTATGTTGTTTTTGGGCCTTCAACTGCTTAAATTCTTTATCTAAATTGTTAATGTCTTTAACTATATTTGGAAACCTACTAGCCAGAGGACCTATGCTTTCAGTTTATGATATATTTGATGGGTGCAGAAAAATGAATGGTTTGAGAATCTGTACTTCTCGGGAAGTAAAGGGGAATCGCTTCCATATTTGGATTACCGCTTCAATATAAAAATCCAGACATTTCAGTCTGAAAGTATATTTGATATTTTCGGTAAAAAAAAGATTATTCATTTCTTCCAATACTTTTGGACCCAAGTAAATTTTTTCTATTGGAAAAAAATGTTCTCGATTTCGATATTGAACATTAGCTCTATATCTGTATTTCTTAAACATCCTGATTTTATGGAACATCATAATAAAAATTTACACGCATCGTTAATCCGGGGGTAAAGGTTATGCACCTTGAGGGTTACAGACTGAAATTAAAAATTCAAATCCGTAAAATTCGGTAATATAGATTGCAAAAGAAATATATAGTTTATTTAATTTATTATTAAGCATGTCATGGATTTCCGCTGCTCCTGAAGCTTCATCGAATGCTTCAATTCTAAAATAATTCTTTAGATCATTATTAGTTTGTTCGTACAGCCTGTTTGCTGACAATCAGCAAACTGATAGTCGGCGACAAGTCATGACCTAGTTTTCTCAGTTAGCTGTCACTGACACGTCGCTGACTGTATCAATTGCGTACATGAGAAAGTTACAAGTTGGCTGAGAGAGGTCATACCGATTATCGACAACTAATCCGCTGTTCGTACAGAAACTTCTGACTGTTTGATGACTGTCTAATTAATCAGCAGATAATTTGCCAGTAAATTGTCAGAGCTCGAAGTCAAGTACAATAATAATTATTTGAATGTAAAATTTTTCAGAATGAAGTAGACAATTTTGAAAAAATTGGGGATTCATTTGCTGTAAACCACGATGATCTAGAATTTTCGAGGAAAACATGGACACTTTCTAGAAAAAATAACAGCACTCAAAAATGTCAAGCAGATTTACTCAGTAATTCCCATTAAATTCTCATATAAAAAGTATAAACATAAATTCGAAGAAATATGATTCCACACATCGAATGACAAGTTGAAGAAATAAATACATAGTAAGAATGAACGTCTGCAGTGATTATGCATGACAAATGTATTGCGAATGACTTTTAATAAAACGCGGACAGTATGGTTTTTGTTCCCTGTTCCCTTGTCGCCCAGCCTCGAAGTGTATGCACAAACAGTATTTATATATTCTAGCTATGTACTCGTAAGTCCAACCCAAAGCTGATGAAAAAATAAACAAAATAACGAATTCTGGAGATTTTGTGATACAGGTTTTTTTCACGGGTGCCCACGGAGAGGGAGTGACTGTTTCTGTTGGGGTGAAAATAATATTTTCCCTATATAGGGTATTTTAAATTCGATCCTCACCATTGGGATATCAGAAACTTCAAGGGATACGAAGTCGCATAAATAGGGGACAAAGTTGCGTATTCAGATAATCTGCAAAACGTCGCTTAGAAAGTTTTGAAATTGAAAGCACTTCCGGAAAGAAACGTAAAAAACGAAATTTTCAAAAAAGGGTTTTAATCTCGTCCTGACTTTATTTGTGGTGGGATTTCAAAATAAATTACACATGAACTCTGCCACATTTCCTCCTCTACACGGCGGCACAATTAGAATTTCAATATGACGTTTCGTATCTTGTCCACCAGCATCAACTTAATTTTTTTTTATAGACGCCATATTGGATTCTTAAACACATGAATAAAATGTTTATTCTGACTTAAAAAATGTATATGTCATACACTGACATTGCAAAACCTAGGTAGGCCTTCAAATTATCAGACTTCATTTGTTTGCATGGCAACAGAGTTTGGAAGACTGTGAATATCTCTGCTTATTTCTGGTTATTATTGTTATTTCCATCAATAAAATTTCCATTTCGTATTCAGGTTTCGCCATATAATAATAATGTCTTTATTAATCCATCCACACTGCGGGGCGAAATTTAGCCAGCTGGCTACTCTACCACTTAACCTCACAGCGCAGGAACACATACAAAAGGAAAGATATAACAATTAATAGTAATCGACTAAATAATATATAAAATAATTAAGGCTTAAATAGATTAATCTTAATATGTTTTCTTTTATACTCCAACAACCACGAAGGCCTAAGGCCTAAACACCCATTGGGCACCGTGGGGCTATAGGGGGATACAGGGGAAAGAGGGACGCCACACGGACTCTGGCGAGGGAACACGTATACATGCAACATGCACACATTCTGGCTCCGCCTACGAGATCCGCCGGGTGGTACCTCCACGTTCGACAGTCAGAGACCGTCTACCACCTACGGACAATCACAACATCCATAGCCAAGAGAAAAATTTCTCCTGGGACGGGACTCGAACCCGCACAGCGCACGGCGACTGATCAGGAGACCGAAGAGTCTACTACTGCGGCCACCGCTGCTGCCTACATCTATGTATGTACATCTATTCTACATAGCCCGCTCTAACAACAAAAAAACAATAAAGACAAATATATATATATATATATCAGCCAGCTTAGCTAGCAGACCCCAGAAGATGGTTCTTAATGGCACTCTTGAATGCAAGTATTCCCTTCTTTTTGTAATTGCGATTAAGACTATTATACACCTTGACAGCGTTGTAGGTGAAGCTACGATGGAAAATGTTGCTCCTATAACTAGGTATATTGAAGCCAGAGTTATGTCTGAGATTTCTTTAATTGAGAACCTCACGTGGTACCAGCCTTTTTAGTAGATAAGTAGGTAGCCTATTGATTTTTATTCGTTGTACTAAAATTAGTAAATTATATGTGAAAAGCTGGTCAACCCTCAACCATCTAAGCCCATTGATCTTCTTAGACACATGGCTAAACTTTCGCAGACCACAAACGAACCTACAGCAGCTATTTTGAATTTTTTGTACTCGATATCTAGTCACGTAATCAAGACAAGGAAAGTAAACAGCAATTGAATAATTTATTAACGATAGAACCAGAGTCTCAGCCAGTTTTTTGCGAGTCTTGAAATTCAGAATATGGCGATTGATGTATAATATCTTCAAACGCATGTATGTTAAGCGAGATAAATGCGTAACATGTTGCTTAAACCTCAAATCTGAATCCATGGTGATCCCTAAATACTTCGCATGGTCTACTACAGGAATATGGGTTTCGTTAAGACTAGGAACAATTGTGCCATCTAACCGTTGTACTAACTGTTTTGGGCCAAATAGCATGGTGGAACATTTTGAAGCATTGATCTTCAGACAATGTCTTTTGCAGTACTCTTCAATGTTAACTAGATCTAAGTTCAATTTATATGATGCCTCATGCATGTCCAAAGAATCAAAAGACAGAGTTAGCTGCGTGTCATCTGCATACGTTTGAATTTTACACTGCTGAAGGCAAGTATGTAGATCAAAAGTATAAACTAAATAGAGTAAAGGTCCCAATACAGAGCCTTGAGGTACGCCAGATGCAACACTCTTTGCCGAAGAAAATCCCTTACCTGTTTTCACCTTCTGGGTACGATTGCACAAATACGAATCGAAGACATATGTTTTTATTTCCTTTTAATTTTCATCCAACAACAAGTTTATGGTCAACTAACGAAATACATCAATGAATTTAGAGCTGAAAAGTCCATTTAAATGTACAAAATTCCCATATCGTGTCCGTATGAAAAAACAAATTTGATGATTGAAGTCGAAAGAAGAAATGTCGAATTGAAAATTTGACTACGTCATCTTGCAGACGAGAATAAGTAACAATGACAATATGCAATTTATTTTGAAATCCCATCTCAAATAAAGTCAGGAAAAAATAGAGCGATCTTGGGATAAATCTGGTGAGCGAAACAAACATCTGATAATTTCAAGGCCTACCTAAGAATTTTTTTTCCTTTTATGAAGTCACCAAGGTTAGACAACGTCAATGTATGGACGTCTTATGCATTTTTTTAATCAAAATTAAAAACTATATTCATCTGTGCAAAAATGCACTTAAGAAATAATAAAGTTGATGCTGGAGGATAAGAGACAAACAGTCATATAGATGATTACGCCTTCTTGTAGAAGATAAAACGTGGCACTGCTAATGTGCAATTTATTTTAAAATCCCAATATAAATAAGGCAGGAAAAAAAACTTATAATGACGTTGTATAAATTTTGGGCTGAAGCGTCTAAGGTCGACAAAATGATCCTCTATATTAAAATTTTTATTGTACCGGACAACAATTGCTAAATGTGTTTCGGACGTGAAATAAGTCGATTCGTCAACTAATAATGAAAATTTATGGCAATTTAAGTCGCTAATAAGATTTTCAAAACTTATTTTCCCTATTACATTGTTTATGATTGCCGTACATTTAGTTCGGCCTACAGACATTTTTCGCTTGGCTACTCTCTATTCCAGACAAACAAATAGATTTTATAAGTTCGCTAAGATGATCTGACACATTTATTGCGATATTATGCTCTGCAATAAAATCTGCAATTTTAATTTCATTTTGTTTTACTGTATTATCAGAAGAAATTTCATATACTATTTTTGACCAAGTTGGCTGCTTAACCATAATAGTTAAATTTTTTATATGCTTTTTTGAATAACTTTTTTTTAAAGCTCCTATGCCGCATAAATAATCATAATTGCAAACCTTGCAGTGGAAAAAATAGCTTCCACAGGAACTTGGTGCACCCAGTTCTTAAAATGTTCATGCTGCTCCCACTCAGCCTTGTATTTTTGGGAATATATTTTTTCTTTTGAGGTTGGTTGATTTTCTGGATCTTACTGGATACTGAATTATCAGAATCAGAAGTGGAGTCTAATTCATTTGTTGTACTCGGTCTCGTTTCCTCTGATTCTTCTTGAACTGAAGCAGACGGTTTGCTTGGACCTGGTTGTGGAGATAATGGCCGAACTGCATCATCTTTTTTCTTAATTCCAAAAAATTTTTTCATTAATTTAGTATCTGATGGCCTGAAAAACAAAAAAATGATTTTAGCCTTTATTACAAAATAATTTTTGCCTCAATTAGGTATTAGTATATTTTTATTGTTAACGTTGTCTCATCAAATATTTTGTAAAATAAATTGTTTTAAAGGAAAAAAAAATCAAATATGTACACTGTGTTCCAGTTTGCTTGTATATAATTGCACGGTATCTTGGATATTTTGAAAGATAGAACCTTACAGTTTCAGGAACCTGTGCCACTTTTTTGTGCAATATAACAATTAATGGAGGGCATAAATACAAGGTGCCCACATTTTATATCATACTCATATTAATGTTCATATTCAAAGTGCAAATACAGGGTGTTCCATTAAAAAAAACTAAGTTAGGGTCATAGCTCTTGAACGACGCGTCTGATTTATTTTCGAGCACGCCATAGAATATGCAGAAGTATCTATCTAAGCAGTTTTCACCTTTTTTCTATCTTATACAGGGTGCGAGCTGACAGTGCCCTAAAACGTGAAATTTTTCGTTTTCACCCTGTATTTCAGTGGCAAAACGAGATTCCTTAAGGTTGATTCTCACTATACATTCCGTTTCCATTCCGTAACCGTTCCGTAAATTATTGAAATTAAATATTCGCCTTCGCTTAAAGCAGGCTATTGCGTGTGTATGCACATTATCCGTAAGGTATATTGTGTATACAATCAAATTGTACTGAACGTTTACGAAACTGATGTGGAATGGGAACGGAATGTATAGTGAGAATCAACCTTTAATTCTGTTTGTAGCATTATTAGTTTAAACAGTTTTCTGTAGCAAGAATTAGTGAGATCCTAGTAAATACTTGCCGTTGCTAGATGGCGCGGTAGAATTTACTGACGGTTCCATACTAAATATGAATTGCAATGATTATTATACATAAGGGCCTCAAAGGCTGAAAGGCAAAGAAATTTATAGTAGATGATTGCCTTTGTTGTTTCAGTTTTATTTTGTATTTCTGTGTAAGCTTTTATTTAAGGCGACATCTTGTGGTCAATTCTTAAACTATAATTTACTAGTGTTATATAGGGACTTTCGCCATTCTTAGTATGGACGTTGGCAAATCCGATGTGGAATGTCAGTTCAATTTGATTTTGGGTAGCTACAAGAAAAAACAGCTACTTACACAAAAGCGCAATTTTGTAGCATTTATACTGTCGATTGTACCTGTACAACTTCAAATTCTATTAGGAGTGAGACAATTTTTTTATTTGTAGCTGCGAATATACGTTTTAATTGGACATCTTTAGGCAAAAAATGGAGAAGGCTGAAAATTGGCAAAGCAAATACTGTCTAGAGTCTAAACAACATCCTCAGCAGACTACTATTGCACTGTGCTCGTTTATGGAGCAGCAGAACTTCGTGGATGTAGCCATTTGCTGCGAAAAAAGGGTTCTACACGTTCATAAAGTGGTTCTGGCTGCCAACAGTGCCTTGTTTAAGGTGAGTAGATATTTCCCACAAATACACATGATCATGACTCATGTATTTTTATAGGAAGAACTGGATAAAAATTCATCTGTCGACCATGTGGTGATCACAGGATGTGAGTTTTCTGTGGTGAAATCCTTAGTGGAGTTCATGTACTGTGGATCGACTATTGTATCAGATGAACATCTCAAATATTTAGTTGCGGCAGCCAGGACATTACAAATGAAAGCATTGGAAAATCTGACACTTGGCTGCACCTTACCTGGTAATTTATTTCATTAAGACATTCCAATTTTATTTTGTCTTATACAACGTACATGAATAGTTTATTTCTCGGATGCAATTAGAATAACGCAAAAAGTGACACAAGTCTTATGAAAAAATTCATATAGGGATCTCCTACGAAAATACAGACTCGCAAATTAAGACACTGGAGTCTGTTTTTTTATTTCACGTGTCTCATTTATGTCGCAAGGGAAAGACTACCACAATATTGCTTATTTTTTATCACTCAATAGTAATGACTCAAGAGCGACATTTCTTGAAAAATGTATCCCCGATGGACGTTTTTAAGATGAGTACATAGTTGCTTGGAGCTATTTATAAAAAATTGGAAACATTCTGAGGAAGCGTAAGTATCGGCGACAACAAAGAGTTTTTTGACTGCAACCAAAAACTTTTTTGCATACTACAGATTATGAAAATTGGGAGACAAAAAATCCTTGACTGGCTCCTTCGGCCTAGTCCGAATTCGGATGCAACATGCAGTGGAAAGATAGACCAAAATGAGGGATATTTTGGTGAAAAATCACCACACCTGGTAACCCTGATCAATTAGTAAGCACAACGATGCTTGCGTGGAAATAAGAGTGTGCGTAAGTCTGGTTGCCTATTCGTTCTGCTCGACGCAAATATGAATAAAATAGAGTTTTTCTGCATGTTTCGGCTTGGTAGTACTGTATGTCCGTTAGTGCGTTATGTGTTCTGTGAATAAGGTAGTTAATCGAAAATTTAGACATTCGGACGGGAATATAAGAAAAATCCTTTTCGCTCGCGCCTTTGACCCTGTGAGCAAACTTGATAAAAACACATTTTGATGGACAAAATCAGAGAAAAGCAGTCTCATCTGAATGAAAGGAGATGATAAAAAGTATGCATCAAGTTATCTAACCGTAAGAGTGATCAAATCTCGCACTCTTCATCTATCAGCTCAAAAGCTTATGCATTACTTAATACTTTTGACTTTTTTTATTTTTTACTCAGTATGATAATATTGTCTTAGTTTTATCATTAACATGGTGTTTCCCAAATATGGGGCAAGCATTTAATGTGTGACTCTTGGGACTATTCTGAAACTATTATATTTGATCCTCTCGATTTGCGAAACACCTCTTGATTCCGGAAAAATAGGACCCTAAAGGAAACGGCGTTGGAAATATGTTTTTCTTATATATGTGTATATATATATCGCCGCTTAAGTTTTAACATCGCGTAACTCAAAAAATGGCGATATCATGCGTGTCATTCGATAGGAAATTTTGGTCGTTTAAAAACTTGTCAGTTTTGAGCTACGCTGTGTTAGAACATAAGTGATGATCCAACTAAAACTATCAACTCATTTAGCTCGCCAGAGAGCCATAAACGCAATATATTGCTAATTTTTTACACCTTTGTATAATAATGCCTAGAAAATAGTATTTTTGGAAATTATAACGTACTGTTCCATCTACATCATTGTAATACTACCTGTGGTTGTTTCAAGAATTGTTTGATTCTGATAACATCCACCGTTTTTTTTTAATATTCGTGGTTTTCAGGTCGCAAATTTTCAATACGAGTAAACCAGTAACGGTTCCATAATTTAGAAAACTGTACCAAAATAATAAGGGTGTTGTACTTCAAAACCCCAGAATGGCTCAGTGAATAAGACACACCCCTTCCCCTCCGGAGACAAAAATTCTCCTGAACATAAATCCTGTGACCCCTGACATAAATCCTGGTCCCTTGCACTATATAATGCAGTATTCGCGTTCAATGATGACTTCGGTTTTATTGTTTTATCAATTATATTGATACGTTGTTTTATTATTTAGGCAGCTGGGAATTTTCTAAATTAAAAAGCGACTTTGTATTACCAGCTACAAAAAGCCATTCTTTCTCATAAGTCGATTATCGTCCTTCAAATGTCGCCTTTTACGTTTGCTTTTTCTTTTTCAGCCGACATGATAGTGATTCCCAAGCCACAGTTTCTCTCCAAAAAGCCCAAATACCCTGCGCCAGTTTCGTCCAGCAATCTGTACATTCCCAACAAAGACAATAGAAAGCTCCGTATATAAGCTGAACACCGGGCATGTGTTAAAGAAGCCGAGGCTAGTAGATCGGCTATTGCTAACCTGACAAAAGAGATCGTATCTGCTCCACATGCTAATACTTTCATCATTGACGAAACTCGCTCAGAGACCACAGTTGAGAATTTCATCTCGCATCCTCCAGTAGGATTTGGTGCTGGTCAAGTGTTTTTGCCCACTGACCCAAATGTGTCGAACAATGTCATTCAGTCGATCATACCCAGTAGCTCTGAAGAACTTACTGCTGATAAGATAAAGGATCTATTGGGAAATGAAGCCAACTCTAGTGTGAAGATACTGTTCAAGACCAGTGATGAAAGTTTCGTCACTGTTACTGACGAAGCTCTCCAGAATCTTCAGAAGGATGGTCTGCAATATCAAGTGATAGGCGAAGATGAAAAATTAGGCGACGTTCAGGAATTGCAACTGACTAAGGATATGACCAATGCGGCAGCTGAAGATATACCACTTTTTCCGGAAACGTTTGATCTATTCGGCAATGCTCAAACAGACTCGGCAAATATCATCATTGAACCATGTAAAGTAGTGGATAACGCTGGTGCTTTGATCGAACCGGAAAACGTAGGGATACTTTCACTGGACACTGAAGGGTTGAATGAGAGCTATTCAGTTCGAAAAGCATAAAGGAAGCATTCCTTCTACCGCGAGTACTGATCAGGAGGACGATACAAGTTTGGACTTTTCTCCTGATATGCTTTTTGCTGACTGATAACAAGAGGATTTGTTTGGAAGAAGATACCTCGAAGCAGTGACATGTTGTTTGGTTTTGAGTTGTTTGCAGGGATAAATTGTATTCATTATTTGTTTCAATAAAAACAATTTCATGATTACAGTTATTGTTTTTCGGACTCCATTGCCCCACCCCTTATCAAGTACAATGACAATTAATTCAGGGGTTACCTTAATAGCTTCCTTTCGAATTAGACCAGTCAAATCATTGTGGAAATTACATACGCAAATTTGCTGAATTCCAAAAATGAGAAAGAAAAGAAGAGAAAATCCCGGGTTGGTGAAGTAACAGGTGAGAAAATATGCTACAGACAGAAATATTTATGAAAGTGAAGGGGTTATTTACTACATTTTTTTTATTTCCAGTTCAGTCTAGAAATTTATTTTGCGATGTCAATAGAAAATACAAATCAGCGTCTAGACATGAGACACTGCGCAAATTTTTGAAGTATGATGCGTCATTCCTAATTTTACTGTGATGTGGCTTAATTGCACACAACGCGGGCGCAGTGGCGATTTCCCATAATCAAAGTTTTTGAAAACACAAAAAAGCGGGAGCTATCGTAATTTATAACTTTGATTATAACCCGTATACCGAAAGGACAACATATAAATAACTCGTCGGGCACAGCTAATAGATATACTCCATGTACACCAATACACAAAATCATCGAGATGTGATCTTGCTACTCAACCAACTTTCATTCTACCACATCCTCTCAGACTACAGACCACTCGGATTCACAAAACATTCGAGTATACTAGCTTTCTGCAACCAACAATGCGCGCAGCTGAGTCATTCCTCCATAGATCAACGCTTACAAAACTACCTAGTCTGCAAGATGACATTTCGTTGTTTTTTACATTTTATCGGGTTTTTACATAATAGCCGTGCTGTAGGACGAACTATGTAAGGAATAAATCGTAAGGTCTCATCCATCATCTCACGCAACTTCTTCAATACAAACAGATGGCGTCAAATAGGTTAACTCTCGACTTCCCAGGCAACGCCCTTATCAGTACGTAGAGGAATATGTTCAGCACAAACTAGACTCTCAGAGGAAAAAGTCAGTCAAGCAGGTCTATACAATTAGTCCATACATATTTTTCCCTGCCCTACCGGTGGTGCATCAGAACCAGTGGCGGTTCCACTGTAGGAGCACATGAGCACGTGCACCCCTAAAATAAATAATAAAAAATATGTATAATATCCATTTAATAATTTCTCAAAGTCTGAGCCTCCCTGATATTTAATCGTGTGAGTCACCAGTCACCACCCTTACCGCTGCGCTGCCTGATTCGGGCGATTCGGACTGGCCCGGCCCGACTGCCGCCGACGGGTGACGACGAATAGTCGCATTATGCGATCATGTACGCGGGATTAGTGTGTTTCTCTCCCTGCTGTTCTGGTTGCGGGGTATAGCGGGGTTATCGCAATTTTAGTTGGAAAAGACCCACACTTCTGGAGTGCGCCATTGTCCGTTGCGCGTGCATTTTATGCAGTAATTGGAGGTGTGTTCGAACTTTTATGTTCGTAGCAGTATTTTAATGAGATATTGAGTTAAAACCACAAAGGTAAATCTAGAGACTTTATTAGAAAGTTTAAAATGGAAATCTATGAAAATTAGGCAGCAGCGGTGGCCGCAGTAGTAGACTCTTCGGTCTCCTGATCAGTCGCCGTGCGCTGTGCGGGTTCGAGTCCCGTCCCAGGAGACATTTTTCTCTTGACTATGGATGTTGTGATTGTCCGTAGGTGGTAGACGGTCTCTGACTGTCGAACGCGGAGGTACCATCCGGCGGATCTCGTAGGCGGAGCCAGAATGTGTGCATGTTGCATGCACACGTGTTCCCTCGCCAGAGTCCGTGTGGCGTCCCCCCCCCTTTCCACTGTATCCCCCTATAGCCCCACGGTACCCAATGGGTGTTTAGGCCTTAGGCCTTCGTGGTAGCTGGAGTATAAAAAAAAATGATAACTGGATTTGTGGATGCAGCACAACAAACCGTTTGTTTTGTTTTTCCTGTTTGTTGTTTGGTCGCGGGGTTGCAGAGCCTGCCTGGACAAAAAATGGATTAGCCGACTTGGGACATTTAGTACAAAAAATTAAGAAACATGAAAACACTCAAGTCCATACCAATGCGCACGTGGAAATGCAGCTTTTGGGAAAAGTAGATATACGGCAGCAGTTGGCCAGTGCATATAGGCGCAGTATTCAACAGCAAAATGAAAAAGTTAGAAAGAATAGGTATGTACTTTCAAAAATTATTGATTGCATAAAATTTTGCGGAGCTTTTGAAGTAGCCCTCCGCGGTCACGACGAAAAAGATGGTTCAAAAATCCCGGTATTTTTAGAGGTTTCATAAATTTCACTGCCGAATTAGATATAGCACTTAAAGATCATTTTGAAAATCTACAGTATTCAAAGGGATATCAAAAATCATGCAAAACGAATTGTTAGATTTCATGTTACAAGTGGCTCAGGAAAATATAAGAAAGAAATTTTGGAAGCTGAATTTGTTGCTGTTATGGCTGACGAAATAACGGATGTAGCTAATTGTTATCAAATGACTACAGTATTTAGGTACATTATACCAGATGGAAGGCAAGTTGAACGTGTTTGGAATTTTGTTACCCCTCCCCCCCCCCCTGACCACGATGCAGTTAGTCTCTCAGAATGTGTGAAAACTAATTTAATACAAGTGCTAGATAAACCAGAGAAACTGCTAGCTCAAAGTTATGACGGCGCTAGTGTAATGAGTGGACGTCATGGAGGTCTTCAAGCTCTTATTCAACGTGATTATATTTATGCTTATTTCGTTCATTGTTATGCCCACCAGCTAAATTTTATTTTATCGCAAGCTACAAGTCAAAATCAAGAAGTACGGGTATTTTTTTCAAATTTAAGCGATATTTCAACTTTTTTTCTCATTCTCCACAACGAGTTGCAGTTTTGGATGAAATTGTTGGTGCAAGAGTTCCTAGGTCTTCTGTTACAAGATGGAATTTTAAAAGCAGATCTATAAATACAGTATATGAATATCGCGAATTGTTAATAGAATGCATGGAAAAAATAGAAGCTACTTCAAAACAATCTGTTACCATCAATCAAGCCACTGGTATTGGCCGTATGCTACAAGATTCTAATTTAATTGGAATTAATTTACCGGCGACCTGATTTCAGAAATATGAGTGGTGCCATTAGTATGTTACAGTTTTTTATAGAAAATAATCTTCAGAGCATATTTTTGCCACCTTTACACTTTTACAAATAATTGTTACCATACCAATGACTACGGCCGAAAGTGAAAGATGCTTTTCGACATTGAAGAGAATAAAAACATTTTTGCGAAGTTCTATGAATGAAGAAAGACTGTCAGCCCTAGCAATGCTATCTATCGAGAAAAAATGTATAGCGGGTATTCCAAACTTTAACGAGGCTGTTATTGATAAATTTTCTGCAAATACAAACGAATGGACTTTACGTTTAAACACTGTACTAATTAAAAAACTTGTATTTTATTATAAATGTATTTTCTTGTGTATAATAGAAAAAATAACAAAAAATGTGTCCTTTCATTTCATACCACTTGTGAACCCCCTGTATCATAGACCACGAGCCGCCGCTGATCAGAACGCGTCACCTCTCCCCGATACCTAACTCGGGCTGAGTATAGAAAATACTATGCTGTTGTGCGGCAGACATACGCGTTATTCGATAACAGAACAGTTATCACGGTCGGCGAACGACGCCAACAGCAGTAGCGAAAGATAGGTACGCGATCCGTCCCCTGAGAATATTTTTTCAGGGCTAATCTATAGAGAAATCTATGATGTGTGAAATATGTCTAATAGGTGCGTAGTTGGGAGCGTATAAAAGTACCATTTTTTTCAAAATTAATCAGGGTCCTCTGAAACCCCAAAAAATTAAGTTTGAGCGATTTTAATTTATGTAGTTTTAGGCCTCTTTCTTTGCCACCACTGAACGGATTCTGAAGAAAACTACAAAGCTTTTGCGTCCTTGGCATAGAAGTGACATGGTGTAATTGCATCAAAATCCGAGAGGCATTTCTCAAGTTATAGGCGGTTATAAGATTAGCGGACAGACCGACATGGTTTTTCATGACGTGCATGTCATATAACATCCAAAAAACAATATTTTCGAAATTTTGCGCGATTACAATACAACCTTACCAGTAGGCGTGAAAAGTAAAAAGCTCTTCGGGATAAAAAGTAATTAAATTGTCCCAGGACTTTTTTGAGCCAACTATGTCTATCGATTTTAAAAGATTAAAATTGCCTTGAGTATGAATGTTATTGTTAATAAATTTTGTGAAAAAAATAGTGTCAAGTAAATTGAAATGGTACCTTCTACGCATACACATGGCTTATTTTCGAATATTCCGTACCTGCAAACTGAAAATTATATGTACGTAAAACATGAGCCTTGCTAAAAATTAGTTTTTGTAGGACCCAGGGTCGTAGCTACCGCCATATCAGCCGCATCAATGCCCCAGGGGCCCCGGATTACAGGGGCTCGACTGTGTAAGAAGAAATTCGTAAAGTCTCATCCACCACCTCACGCATTTTTTAAGTGGCACGCCATACTATAAATTATCAATAACTGAAGCCTTAGATCAGGGTTTCCCAACCTTTTTTTTGTTGAGGCTCCTCGGACTATATATTATATTGTCATGCCCTCCATTAACTTTTCAATAAATACAAAATTATATAGATACAAAGACTTTTATTTTAATTCTAATAAAGAAACTTTAAAAGTTTAAATGAACTAATAAATGTTTTTTATCAAAAAACTTGAATAAAATAAGAGTAGGTGCTAATGAGACACTTGAGATTGCATGTTCTGTACCAGTTGGTTGATTCTAGGTTCTGTTTTTGTCAGAGCTATCATCAGGTCGCTATCGATATCAAGACGATTTCGCTGTTTAGCTTTAGTTGCAACTAGACCCTGTCTCACATAAGTGAATTGAAGAAAAAGCAACTAGTATCGGTAAAACAAGAGAGGCAAGTGTTGAATTAACAGGCAATCTTTTGATCCAAATTTTCTCCAATGTTAAAAATGGAAGTCATCTTTCATGGACGAATCAGCCTTCATTTCTAGAAATTCTTCCTGATCTTCTTCTGGTAATTGTGACACATCGACAACAAATGGATTTCTTGTTATGTGCAATATTGTTGACTCAGAATTTATGTCTCGATAGTATCGGCGAAACTCGTCTTCCAGCGCTTGCAAATGAGTGTTTATGTCAGCTTTTAAATTTGCGTCCACTATGTTACTTTACTTGCTTCGAACATCTGCGGGATTAACAGCAAAATTGATGCTGTTCATCACTACCTGCAATCCACTCGTCCCTCCGTGCTTTCCTTGGCGGAGACAAAAATCTCAGAGATTAACCATCTTAACTTCCCAAACTACGAGGTGCACTCCAATCTGAGAAAGAACGGGGGAGTTGTGCCTTTTGTCCACAGCAATCTTTCCTACTCCAGAGATGTTTCTTTGGAATCAGGTTGGCAGGACATTCTGTGGCTTCGCCTCTACTCCAAAACATCACCCAAATTTATCTGCTGCCTTTATCGCTCTCCCTCGGACCATAACTGGGATGGCCTACTCGAGTACCTCGCCGTCCAGATGACTCCTTGAACATCAATCACCCCGCTTCAGAGGTAGTTCTTCTCGGTGATTTCAATGCCCATAATGAGCTTTGGTTGGGCTCAAACAAGACCGATGCAGCAGGTCGTGCAGTCGAAACGTTCGCTCTTACTCAAGGGCTGACCCAGCTGGTGACGAGCCCTACTTTTTTTCCCCGCATCTCGTCACACGCCACTAGCCTGCTGGATCTCTTTCTGACCACGCATCCTGTCCCTTACAGCACTGCTGTCCTGTCCCCCCTGGGCAACTCAGACCACTGTGTTGTGGAGGTTAGGTTTCGGTCAGAACCCGCTGTGACAGCAGAAACTCGTACAGGCCACAAAACTTGGCCTTACGGACATACCGATTAGGACGGGCTCAGAGACTTCTCTAGCTTTCCTCGGAGAGATGTCTGTTTCACTGACGCGAATGCGTCGGCTGTCTGTTTTTCGATAACCGAAATTATCCACGTCGGAATGGAGGAATACATCCTTCACACAGTAAAAGTGCCTAAACCAAGGTCCAATATACTTAGGCTCAGTTGATCATGATCTGCACAATTTGATTTTATTTTCATAAACTCGTCAAATATGATTTGCTGAGATATTAAAGTGAAGTTAAAATCAACATCAACAGAACGATGCTTGTGATTTTCATAGTACACTAGTAGTAATTCATCTATTGTGCTATTTGGAATAGAATTTATAAAGAAATTATTAACAGAGTCTGGTTCAAAAGGGCAGACGTTAAACTTATTTTTATTACCATGTATACCTATCTGCTTGATACATTTCCACCAGCTACGAGAATTACGCTTTTGCTTTAATTGATACTCAACGTAAACCTTCTCTCTACGGATGGATGCAGTTACTAAATTTCGTAATTGTTTGTAATAAGTCCATTTTTGTTCAATGACTTCTTTGCTAGAATTTTTCTTTTTTAAGTTTTTATAACTGAAATAAGCTTTATCTCTTAGTTTCATCATGAGACGTATGTTCGGTGTTATCCAAGAGAGAGTCCTTTTGAATACCTTCTTGTATTTCAGAGGAGCACATGCATCTAGAACAAATAGAATTAGTTTATTCAAATACTCAACTTTAGAATTAATATCAGGATGATGGATCACATCTAACCAGTAGAGAGAAGAGGCGACAGTAATGAAAAGGTTCATGTCCATATTCTTTAAATTTCTTGTCTCTATATACTTAACATTGCTGGCGACAGGTAGTGATTCTATGCAAAAATATAAAAGGTGGTGATCACATATCGAAGAGAAGTTAACAGTATCAGTTTTAGTGACTGGTATGTTTTGACTAACAAAAGCCACGTCAATCAATGTAGAGGTGAAATTGGTAACTCTGGTTGGTTCTTCAACAATCTGAGCTAGTCCATAGTCTCTCAATATGTTACTTAGGAAATCATAACTTGAACCTGACTTATTCAAAAAATTAATATTGAGGTCACCCATATAAATTATGCTATCTACTTCCAAATAAAAGTCCTCCAAAGATGCTTCCAGACCTAACAGTGCTGAGAAATCTACCAACGGTGGTCTATAAACAATACCAGTTGCATGTAAGTGCTTATTAATTTTAATTTTAACCTATATTTGTTCTAGACCAACTTCAACCTGAATTTTTAGGGTTACATATATTACAACTAAGTCCAGTTCTTATGTAAAAAGCCACCCCACCACCTCTTTTGCCAAGTCTGTCTGATATGAAAAGTTGAAAGCCCTCAATATCAATATGCTTGTTCGAAACTTCAGGCTTAAGCCATGTTTCTGTTAAACCAAACACATCGAAGTTTTGAAGCAAAACGTTATCCCTAATGTCACTGAAGGAGCTAATCAAGGATCTCACATTTAGAAAGCCAATCAATAAATTATGGTCATCATTTGCAATAACATCAAATTCATACATGCTTATCAGTTCTAAAAGATCGTTAAAATATTTAGAAAAAAAAACAAACAAAGAATGTAGCAAGAGGTTATAAGAAGAAAGAATAGAAAGTGTGTACAAAAAAGAGTTTGTATGGGATTAAAAGTGACGATAAACAACTGTTTTGCTAAATTTAAATTTAACCCTGAAAAAAACTACTGAGAGTAGTTCGTTTTGTCACGAACTATATCTTCTACCTTTTTTAAACAGGCACACCTTTTATCCCAAACTGCATGACACGTATCTATATTTTTTTTGTTTTTTTCATAAAAAACTGCACAATTGACACACTTAAGTCTAGGACTTTTACAGGATTTCCTCTCGTGATTACCCATACACAGAGGACAAACAATACCTTTCACACAACTTTTTTGTATATGACCGTATTCACAGCATTTAAAACATCGCACTATGGAAAGATGCTCAAAAACATTACACCTGCTATATTCACTTTATTTACATACAAGAGTCTGTGAAAAGTCGAAGGATCCGTTTCTGCTACAATATCCATCTTGCCATTCCTAGCTGCATATTTGTAAACTATATTGAAAGTGCACTCAGCGCCTATGTTGTTTTTGGGCCTTCAACTGCTTAAATTCTTTATCTAAATTGTTAATGTCTTTAACTATATTTGGAAACCTACTAGCCAGAGGACCTATGCTTTCAGTTTATGATATATTTGATGGGTGCAGAAAAATGAATGGTTTGAGAATCTGTACTTCTCGGGAAGTAAAGGGGAATCGCTTCCATATTTGGATTACCGCTTCAATATAAAAATCCAGACATTTCAGTCTGAAAGTATATTTGATATTTTCGGTAAAAAAAAGATTATTCATTTCTTCCAATACTTTTGGACCCAAGTAAATTTTTTCTATTGGAAAAAAATGTTCTCGATTTCGATATTGAACATTAGCTCTATATCTGTATTTCTTAAACATCCTGATTTTATGGAACATCATAATAAAAATTTACACGCATCGTTAATCCGGGGGTAAAGGTTATGCACCTTGAGGGTTACAGACTGAAATTCCAAATTCATATCCGTAAAATTCGGTAATATAGATTGCAAAAGAAAGATATAGTTTATTTAATTTATTATTAAGCATGTCATGGATTTCCGCTGCTCCTGAAGCTTCATCGAATGCTTCAATTCTAAAATAATTCTTTAGATCATTATTAGTTTGTTCGTACAGCCTGTTTGCTGACAATCAGCAAACTGATAGTCGGCGACAAGTCATGACCTAGTTTTCTCAGTTAGCTGTCACTGACACGTCGCTGACTGTATCAATTGCGTACATGAGAAAGTTACAAGTTGGCTGAGAGAGGTCATACCGATTATCGACAACTAATCCGCTGTTCGTACAGAAACTTCTGACTGTTTGATGACTGTCTAATTAATCAGCAGATAATTTGCCAGTAAATTGTCAGAGCTCGAAGTCAAGTACAATAATAATTATTTGAATGTAAAATTTTTCAGAATGAAGTAGACAATTTTGAAAAAATTGGGGATTCATTTGCTGTAAACCACGATGATCTAGAATTTTCGAGGAAAACATGGACACTTTCTAGAAAAAATAACAGCACTCAAAAATGTCAAGCAGATTTACTCAGTAATTCCCATTAAATTCTCATATAAAAAGTATAAACATAAATTCGAAGAAATATGATTCCACACATCGAATGACAAGTTGAAGAAATAAATACATAGTAAGAATGAACGTCTGCAGTGATTATGCATGACAAATGTATTGCGAATGACTTTTAATAAAACGCGGACAGTATGGTTTTTGTTCCCTGTTCCCTTGTCGCCCAGCCTCGAAGTGTATGCACAAACAGTATTTATATATTCTAGCTATGTACTCGTAAGTCCAACCCAAAGCTGATGAAAAAATAAACAAAATAACGAATTCTGGAGATTTTGTGATACAGGTTTTTTTCACGGGTGCCCACGGAGAGGGAGTGACTGTTTCTGTTGGGGTGAAAATAATATTTTCCCTATATAGGGTATTTTAAATTCGATCCTCACCATTGGGATATCAGAAACTTCAAGGGATACGAAGTCGCATAAATAGGGGACAAAGTTGCGTATTCAGATAATCTGCAAAACGTCGCTTAGAAAGTTTTGAAATTGAAAGCACTTCCGGAAAGAAACGTAAAAAACGAAATTTTCAAAAAAGGATTTTAATCTCGTCCTGACTTTATTTGTGGTGGGATTTCAAAATAAATTACACATGAACTCTGCCACATTTCCTCCTCTACACGGCGGCACAATTAGAATTTCAATATGACGTTTCGTATCTTGTCCACCAGCATCAACTTAATTTTTTTTTATAGACGCCATATTGGATTCTTAAACACATGAATAAAATGTTTATTCTGACTTAAAAAATGTATATGTCATACACTGACATTGCAAAACCTAGGTAGGCCTTCAAATTATCAGACTTCATTTGTTTGCATGGCAACAGAGTTTGGAAGACTGTGAATATCTCTGCTTATTTCTGGTTATTATTGTTATTTCCATCAATAAAATTTCCATTTCGTATTCAGGTTTCGCCATATAATAATAATGTCTTTATTAATCCATCCACACTGCGGGGCGAAATTTAGCCAGCTGGCTACTCTACCACTTAACCTCACAGCGCAGGAACACATACAAAAGGAAAGATATAACAATTAATAGTAATCGACTAAATAATATATAAAATAATTAAGGCTTAAATAGATTAATCTTAATATGTTTTTTTATACTCCAACTACCACGAAGGCCTAAGGCCTAAACACCCATTGGGCACCGTGGGGCTATAGGGGGATACAGGGGAAAGAGGGACGCCACACGGACTCTGGCGAGGGAACACGTATACATGCAACATGCACACATTCTGGCTCCGCCTACGAGATCCGCCGGGTGGTACCTCCACGTTCGACAGTCAGAGACCGTCTACCACCTACGGACAATCACAACATCCATAGCCAAGAGAAAAATTTCTCCTGGGACGGGACTCGAACCCGCACAGCGCACGGCGACTGATCAGGAGACCGAAGAGTCTACTACTGCGGCCACCGCTGCTGCCTACATCTATGTATGTACATCTATTCTACATAGCCCGCTCTAACAACAAAAAAACAATAAAGACAAATATATATATATATATATATCAGCCAGCTTGGCTAGCAGACCCCAGAAGATGGTTCTTAATGGCACTCTTGAATGCAAGTATTCCCTTCTTTTTGTAATTGCGATTAAGACTATTATACACCTTGACAGCGTTGTAGGTGAAGCTACGATGGAAAATGTTGCTCCTATAACTAGGTATATTGAAGCCAGAGTTATGTCTGAGATTTCTTTAATTGAGAACCTCACGTGGTACCAGCCTTTTTAGTAGATAAGTAGGTAGCCTATTGATTTTTATTCGTTGTACTAAAATTAGTAAATTATATGTGAAAAGCTGGTCAACCCTCAACCATCTAAGCCCATTGATCTTCTTAGACACATGGCTAAACTTTCGCAGACCACAAACGAACCTACAGCAGCTATTTTGAATTTTTGTACTCGATATCTAGTCACGTAATCAAGACAAGGAAAGTAAACAGCAATTGAATAATTTATTAACGATAGAATCAGAGTCTCAGCCAGTTTTTTGCGAGTCTTGAAATTCAGAATATGGCGATTGGTGTATAATACCTTCAAACGCATGTATGTTAAGCGAGATAAATGCGTAACATGTTGCTTAAACCTCAAATCTGAATCCATGGTGATCCCTAAATACTTCGCATGGTCTACTACAGGAATATGGGTTTCGTTAAGACTAGGAACAATTGTGCCATCTAACCGTTGTACTAACTGTTTTGGGCCAAATAGCATGGTGGAACATTTTGAAGCATTGATCTTCAGACAATGTCTTTTGCAGTACTCTTCAATGTTAACTAGATCTAAGTTCAATTTATATGATGCCTCATGCATGTCCAAAGAATCAAAAGACAGAGTTAGCTGCGTGTCATCTGCATACGTTTGAATTTTACAGTGCTGAAGGCAAGTATGTAGATCAAAAGTATAAACTAAATAGAGTAAAGGTCCCAATACAGAGCCTTGAGGTACGCCAGATGCAACACTCTTTGCCGAAGAAAATCCCTTACCTGTTTTCACCTTCTGGGTACGATTGCACAAATACGAATCGAAGACATATGTTTTTATTTCCTTTTAATTTTCATCCAACAACAAGTTTATGGTCAACTAACGAAATACATCAATGAATTTAGAGCTGAAAAGTCCATTTAAATGTACAAAATTCCCATATAGTGTCCGTATGAAAAAACAAATTTGATGATTGAAGTCGAAAGAAGAAATGTCGAATTGAAAATTTGACTACGTCATCTTGCAGACGAGAATAAGTAACAATGACAATATGCAATTCATTTTGAAATCCCATCTCAAATAAAGTCAGGAAAAAATAGAGCGATCTTGGGATAAATCTGGTGAGCGAAACAAACATCTGATAATTTCAAGGCCTACCTAAGAATTTTTTTCCTTTTATGAAGTCACCAAGGTTAGACAACGTCAATGTATGGACGTCTTATGCATTTTTTTAATCAAAATTAAAAACTATATTCATCTGTGCAAAAATGCACTTAAGAAATAATAAAGTTGATGCTGGAGGATAAGAGACAAACAGTCATATAGATGATTACGCCTTCTTGTAGAAGAGAAAACGTGGCACTGCTAATGTGCAATTTATTTTAAAATCCCAATATAAATAAGGCAGGAAAAAAAACTTATAATGACGTTGTATAAATTTTGGGCTGAAGCGTCTAAGGTCGACAAAATGATCCTCTATATTAAAATTTTTATTGTACCGGACAACAATTGCTAAATGTGTTTCGGACGTGAAATAAGTCGATTCGTCAACTAATAATGAAAATTTATGGCAATTTAAGTCGCTAATAAGATTTTCAAAACTTATTTTCCCTATTACATTGTTTATGATTGCCGTACATTTTTCGCTTGGCTACTCTCTATTCCAGACAAACAAATAGATTTTATAAGTTCGCTAAGATGATCTGACACATTTATTGCGATATTATGCTCTGCAATAAAATCTGCAATTTTAATTTCATTTTGTTTTACTGTATTATCAGAAGAAATTTCATATACTATTTTTGACCAAGTTGGCTGCTTAACCATAATAGTTAAATTTTTATATGCTTTTTTGAATAACTTTTTTTTAAAGCTCCTATGCCGCATAAATAATCATAATTGCAAACCTTGCAGTGGAAAAAATAGCTTCCACAGGAACTTGGTGCACCCAGTTCTTAAAATGTTCATGCTGCTCCCACTCAGCCTTGTATTTTTGGGAATATATTTTTTCTTTTGAGGTTGGTTGATTTTCTGGATCTTACTGGATACTGAATTATCAGAATCAGAAGTGGAGTGTAATTCATTTGTTGTACTCGGTCTCGTTTCCTCTGATTCTTCTTGAACTGAAGCAGACGGTTTGCTTGGACCTGGTTGTGGAGATAATGGCCGAACTGCATCATCTTTGTTCTTAATTCCAAAAAATTTTTTCATTAATTTAGTATCTGATGGCCTGAAAAACAAAAAATGATTTTAGCCTTTATTACAAAATAATTTTTGCCTCAATTAGATATTAGTATATTTTTATTGTTAACGTTGTCTCATCAAATATTTTGTAAAATAAATTGTTTTAAAGGAAAAAAAAATCAAATATGTACACTGTGTTCCAGTTTGCTTGTATATAATTGCACGGTATCTTGGATATTTTGAAAGATAGAACCTTACAGTTTCAGGAACCTGTGCCACTTTTTTGTGCAATATAACAATTAATGGAGGGCATAAATACAAGGTGCCCACATTTTATATCATACTCATATTAATGTTCATATTCAAAGTGCAAATACAGGGTGTTCCATTAAAAAAAACTAAGTTAGGGTCATAGCTCTTGAACGACGCCTCTGATTTATTTTCGAGCACGCCATAGAATATGCAGAAGTATCTATCTAAGCAGTTTTCACCTTTTTTCTATCTTATACAGGGTGCGAGCTGACAGTGCCCTAAAACGTGAAATTTTTCGTTTTCACCCTGTATTTCAGTGGCAAAACGAGATTCCTTAAGGTTGATTCTCACTATACATTCCGTTTCCATTCCGTAACCGTTCCGTAAATTATTGAAATTAAATATTCGCCTTCGCTTAAAGCAGGCTATTGCGTGTGTATGCACATTATCCGTAAGGTATATTGTGTATACAATCAAATTGTACTGAACGTTTACGAAACTGATATGGAATGGGAACGGAATGTATAGTGAGAATCAACCTTTAATTCTGTTTGTAGCATTATTAGTTTAAGGCGGCTCCGACGCAGTGAGTTTCAGGCCATTTACAAGGGTTTAGCTGCTTCGGAATTGACGCTCCATTTTTCTATATATTTGAATAAAATTTATACAGTATGTTCAGAAGACAATTGTCCAGGGTGCTATAGAGCCACTTTTCTAAAAAAAAAATTTTTTCAGGAGTTATGGTGGGTGGAAGTGCAGATAATTGTTGTTCGACTTCTCGATTTTTTTAAAAATAACCCAGAGGAAAAAAACGAAAAAGTGGCTCTATAGCACCCTGTGGAGGCTTGTTTTTAGTGCACTGTGAAAATTTCATTGAAAAATATTCAAAAATGAAGCGTCAATTTTGAAGCGCGAAAACCTCTGCAAATAGGCTTTTACACGAATTTTATCCACTATCTCGTGCTGCCAGTCGAAGCAACGCGGCGGTGTGTACGGACTAAGAAAGGAGGTATTCAGATAATTTGTTGTCCCAAGTTCAACAGTAGCAGTTTTAACGTCGGTCGTTCGAGATAAACATCGGACCAGTAAGTGATATTTTTAATAGACTTCAATGAAAGAGGGGAAATTTTTTAATCGATTTTGATCATTTCTTTTTATACAATAGGCCATGCTTCAGAGGTGATACCACAAAAAATCATTTTTGTTCAATTACCCCAATATGGATATCAAATGGAAGCACTTGTATAAAACAGTAATACGAAAACAGTTTCAAATCAAGATGGCAGCCGTTACAAAATGGCGGATAACATACTTGCTAATATCTCAAATAAGAGTCGTCGCCTTGTAGAATACAGTACTTCACTAAAAATTTGATTCCACGATTGCCGCCATTTCGAAATTGCGAGTTACATATTTTTGTACAAAACCCCCAATTTACATATCAAATGAAAAGACTTGACATGTGTGGGAAAATACAGAACTTTGTGACCAAAAGTTTCCAGGTGGTTCCAGGGTCATTGGAGGCGATAATCTTTTAGTTAAAAATAATAATTATAGTGAACGCATTTAACACAAATAAAATGTCACTTGCTGTTTACCTTTAACCTTATGGAGTATCGTAAAATAAACTTAACACGATAAGCGTCATGGGATATAATGCGTGTGTCGCACCTCATTTGGCGCTTTGGGCCTCGTGACACACATGATATGTCTCACTGCTGGCAGTTATATTTGGCCGCGTAACGTAAGACGTGTGCCATGCTGATGTGATTTTCTTACGGGAACCAAGTGTCCGTGGCCTGAGGGACCAAATTATACTGAATTGGAAATGAAAATATTAAAAAACACGTTGTTTATAGAGTTTTACAAGAAGAGGATATTCTACAAATCTAAAACAAAAGCAAATCTTATAAAATAATCAGACATTCTCATTCAAAAATGAACAAAGTAATTTCACAGCAAATCAGTAAGTTATGGTAAATGTCGATATTCTAACGAATACAAATATGGAGGAACTCTTATAAACTAAACAGATTGACAAAGTCTTATGCAGGAATAAACAAAATACCGGTATAAATAAACGGTAATACAGATAAATATGGAATTACTGGAACTACTATCTGATTCACTACCACTTGGAGAATACGCATCAGATAAGTATACATCCCCACATAACTCAGTACTGCCACTCTCTTCATCCGATAGTATTTCATTACACAATTGTTCAAGCCTTTTTTGCTCCGCTTCGTAATGCAACATCACAAATTTGGTATTCAATAATTTATAAACAGTAAAGCAATTTGGACAAGATGACGTACAATACCAACAACGCTTCAATAATAAATGACACGAAACAGTGCTCAACGCGCGACATGATGCAAGTCTTGACTTGCAAAAAACGCGACACGACTTATCTGCCACGCGACCCGACTGGTCTGTGGGCCACGCGACATACAACTAGTACCTCAGAAAAAAACAATCAAAAAAGGGGAAAAATCATAGGATTTGAGAAAAAGTCAAGTCAAAATATTAAACCGAAACTTAAAACAAGCTAATTTGACAATAATAACAGTTTGGCCCAGTGGACTGGATTTTCAGATTCTACTGTGGCGCTTAACGTGTCAATGTGACATTTCAATATTCGCCATCTAACAGACTAGATAAAGCTAGCCGATGCTACGTGCTATTGAGCCTGACGATTGACTTTTATTTAAATAAACAATATATACATAATATACAATAAATAGTGAACATCTGGTACTAGTACCAAAATGGAAGAGATTAGCATAACATCTCGCACATCGCTGCTAAAGCGAGATCTGCACACCGCATTTGCCGACACGAAGCGGTTAGTAACGGCGTACAATGTAATATGCTAATCTCTTCCATTTTGGTACCCGAGTAGGTACAGCAAAAATAGCCAATTCTCAAGAACTCTTTTTCTTGTTCAAACGGTTCTCTTGTGCCTTCAAAATCACATCGGGATCGCGAATTGGCATATTTCTGCTTTTCCTGGGATCGACCAGTTCTGGGAGCAAGCATTTCATGTAGAAGAATTTCAATTTCATTCCATTTCATTTTTCCAGAAAACTTCATCCTTTTGAATGACGTCTATTTTCAAACCATACGGGGTCCAAACACCAAGCACACAGTACTCTCTTTGTGCAACGTGTAGCTGCCCTTGAATTTGGTAATACCACTTATGTTTTTTATGTATTTCATCGTTTATCCAAAACGTAATTTTTTTGTTCAGAATGCCCTCTTCAGGGGTCATTTCTCTAGCCCGACCATGGACATTTAATTTCTAGCAGACCTTTTTCACCTATCAAACCATCTGGCGATGCTGCAGAAATGGATGGGTCGTATCAATAAACAACCCGCAAAATTGTACTTCTGATTGCGAATATGATTTCTCTATTTCTGCTTTTGCCACGCTTTCATGCTTTTTTCCATAGTCACATGCATTGCTAAAGAATTCGGTTGGGTATGTTATGGCGTTTACTAGAGCTCTGCAACTTGTTGTATCTCTTCTTCTACAAACCTCACCAAACCGAGACGCAGTCAACCTCATTCTTCGATGAAGACGCCACAAATTGCAATCCTGAGATTTTGTAGCTTGCTCGATCTGTGAAATTTTGGAGTCGGTTTTTGCAAGTTTTTTTCAAGAATTATACCTTGGCAGCCTCTATATCTTCGTTGCTCATGTCAGGCTTCTCACAGAATTTCCCATAGGATGCGTACTCTTTAGTATCACTATCTCTGATTTTAATTTTCCTTGGTTTCAGCTTCCTTTTCAGATTTTGTGTGCTCTCCTTTCTTCAACATTAGCAATCAAAGAGGTTGGACTGAAACTAGGGAGTAGCCGCTTTTGGATCACACAAACAGGCCGCTGTGTATTGTGGCTCACTACGGCGCAGCACATCTTCCTTGGTAGAATCTCTTCTTGCAATAATTAATCCGTTACCCCCAATGATTTAGCTATGATTGAGTTTAACTGCTCTACAATACTGTCATCGACGTCATGCAGTAGACTTACTGCATTTTTAATCAGAATTGCCAGAAATGATATCAGCCTCTGGTGCAAATCTAAAAAAAAGGGTATACACACCTGAATTTTGAAGATCCGTGCCATCTGTATCTGTTAGAGAATGCATATGCGAAACCTTGCTGTCATTTTTAAGCTAAAATAACATATAAAATATAGTTATAATAGTAACTACGTATAGTCTAATTTATTGGCAAAATGAATGCTAAAATTCATAATTGTTTTGGTACCTACCTTTCTATCTGGAAAAAGTTTTTTTTCCTGTGCGTATTTAAATGCGGCTTCTTCGTTTATTTCTCTTATTGTTCATTTTTGATACCTTGATAAGAAAGACACTCAACAATAACAACACAACATAACAACACAACAATAACAACACGATAATACAACAATACAATAACGGTAATAAGAGTAATAAGGGCTGAGTATACTATGCGCCAAAATAGGGAAACAGTCCAATCAAATCCGACTCTGTGCAATATGCAAATTCAACCTGGCACGCGAACAGCACACTCTGCGTATTACTATCCTTTTCTAACGTAGAGCGCTTGCCTTGTCACAACGCCGTCCTACTAGCGTTTCCCTATCACCCCCACGATTCCCCTCAGAAACTTTGCTTGACTGATAGAGCGCCGTTAAACAGTTTTCTGTAGCAAGAATTAGTGAGATCCTAGTCAATACTTGCCGTTGCTAGATGGCGCGGTAAAATTTACTGACGGTTCCATACTAAATATGAATTGCAATGATTATTATACATAAGGGCCTCAAAGGCTGAAAGGCAAAGACATTTCTAGTAGATGATTGCCTTTGTTGTTTCAGTTTTATTTTGTATTTCTGTGTAAGCTTTTATTTAAGGCGACATCTTGTGGTCAATTCTTAAAACTATAATTTACTAGTGTTATATAGGGACTTTCGCCATTCTTAGTATGGACGTTGGCAAATCCGATGTGGAATGTCAGTTCAATTTGATTTTGGGTAGCTACAAGAAAAAACAGCTACTTAACACAAAGCGAAATTTTGTAGCATTTATACTGTCGATTGTACCTGTACAACTTCAAATTCTATTAGGAGTGAGACAATTTTTTTATTTGTAGCTGCGAATATACGTTTTAATTGGACATCTTTAGGCAAAAAATGGAGAAGGCTGAAAATTGGCAAAGCAAATACTGTCTAGAGTCTAAACAACATCCTCAGCAGACTACTATTGCACTGTGCTCGTTTATGGAGCAGCAGAACTTCGTGGATGTAGCCATTTGCTGCGAAAAAAGGGTTCTACACGTTCATAAAGTGGTTCTGGCTGCTAACAGTGCCTTGTTTAAGGTGAGTAGATATTTCCCACAAATACACATGATCATGACTCATGTATTTTTATAGGAAGAACTGGATAAAAATTCATCTGTCGACCATGTGGTGATCACAGGATGTGAGTTTTCTGTGGTGAAATCCTTAGTGGAGTTCATGTACTGTGGATCGACTATTGTATCAGATGAACATCTCAATATTTAGTTGCGGCAGCCAGGACATTACAAATGAAAGCATTGGAAAATCTGACA